CCCTCAAGATCCCCAACGGTCGCTCTCCCATCCGCTGCTCTGATTGGCTGTGTTTATGTTCGCTCTTATCCGGTCCTATCCCGTCCTGTCTGTGTTAGCGAGTTTGCACAGCCTAGGGTTGTCTGAACACTCTGCCGAGGCATGACAGTGAGGTGATTTCTTGTCCTAACTGACTATTCTTAGAGCCAAACACCCTGAAACTGATGTGTGCCATTAGAAAATGGTCATAACTGCTCACTTGTCAAAGTAATACCCGCAAAACCATGTATTTACGTCTCTAAAGCGTAAAAACAGCCAGTGTAATGCTTGGTTGTCTTCTCAGAGGTCCGCGCGCCTGATATATATATCACCGGCGACGGCTTTCAGTCTGAATGTGTCGGCTCTCGCAGAGCGACCATGTCTGTTTTTGACGATGTTGGAAAGGCGCTCACTATACCACAACACCTACCAGCAAATAAATGTCATGCCTGTATGTGTGATTCGTCGACACACCTATGTAATATGTACCTGTAATAGAATAGGTGATGGTACGTTGAAACCTTATCTTATATCATGCCACTTGTCTATATCTATGGCTATTGTTCCCTGCAGACTTACTAATTTGTGACCACATTGACTATGTGTACACTGTAAATGTATTTACTATGATCTTTCCGGAAAGAATACCACCGCATAGTGTGTACTATAGAGAAGTCTCACCGTTTGGCAGTGTTATGAGTGTGTGCAGATGTCAAATGGTAGAACAGAGCATGCCACGCTAAAATCATAGAGATATGCATATAATATAACGGATGTGTTAGACTACTGAAGTCATAGTTTGCTTGAAAACAGTTTTATGTGTCGCTTCCCAGCGAAAGGGATCGAAATCTACCATCGGCGATAGCTGGCGCGGACGTCTGAGAAGACAATCTCTGGCTGCTGCTGAGGGAGGGCTGTGGAAACACTCTGCCGGTGCATGATAAATGACGTGATCTCTGGTCCTAACTGACTACTGTTAGAGCGAAACACCCTGAAACTGATGTGTGCCATTAGAAAATGGTCACAACTACTCACTTGTCAAAGTAATACCCGCAAAACCATGTATTTACGTCTCTAAAGCGTAAAACGGCCAGTTTAATGCTTGGTTGTCTTCTCAGAGGTCCGCGCGCCTGATATATATATATAGTTACAGTTACCGCTAAAACAGTTTTATATGCCGTCTCCCAGCAAAACGGATCGAAATCGCCCATCGCCGGTGGCTGGCGCGGACGTCGTAGAAGACAATCGCTCGCTACTGCCGATGATTTCGATCCGGTTTTGGCTGAGTGTGGGAGAGTTGGGTAAAACACTCTCATCGTGGGCACTGCCGGCTACAGAGTTGGCGGGAGCTACCTATGTGATTAATAACTATATAAAGGGGATAAACCCAACAAATGTGCATGAACTGACGTTCAGTTACCTTAATATTGAATGGAAACGTTTACAAACATGAGATTGAAAAAAATAAAGTGAAAAACGCCGAAATTATAAAGGCAAAGTGAACAAAAGGCAGTATTTATTAGTTCATGGCCAGTTATGACTAAAATGAAAGTTTTTGTAACTGGGGCCCCGGAGGGTGTGTGTGTGTTTGGTGTGTGTGTAGCGCTAGTTACATAATCAGGTAAAGCATAGTGACGTACAGTTCGGCTACATGTATATTGTGAGGAGGGCACAGAAGTTCAGTGGTCTCAGTAGCGGTTGAACCTCCCCAACATCCAGGATGTACTTGTCTCCAAGAAGACGCAGAAACGGTCCTTTTCAGGACCACTACATGTGACAAAAGAAAGCTTGAAAACCCCAATGCAAAGCAATAAATGCGGCCGGCAGCACAAACCCAGAGTTGCAAGCAAGCAAGCAATGCCACGACGTGGGGTCCTTGGCTTTAGTGGTATCATGTATAGTACACGTATAGGTCTGTCTGTCTGGCTGTCTGGCTAGAAATGCTCGTGCAAAACGGAGCCAGAAGAACAGGTTTTCGACAAAAGGCGAGAGCGCATCTCGGCAAGAGAGCCGGTGACCCCGGAGGCAGGGATCGCGGGGGTCATGCACCTTTTAAGAAGTTCCGGAGAAGAAATAGTGCCTCTCTTTAAAGGCTGCATCTCAGCCGTTCGCGGGTGTAGGGTCAAGACAGTTAGCGTTCTGGAATCAGCCAGACTTCGTCAGGGTGAGGGCTGAAAACAGAGGCATTGGGGGCCCTAAACACACCATTCAAACGCACACACACAGACACACGCACACGCGAACGGCTTTATGAGCAACCTCTTTCATTCATTCATTCATTCATTCATTCATTCATTCAGTTCAGTCAGTCAGGCTTACTTTCATTCAGCCATTTTACGCTTACAAATGCCATGATCGCAAGCCTTCAGCCTTTTACGCCCATCTCCTCTCCTCCCTCTAGTCATGCTACTGCCACGAATCCTATCTGCAAAGAACGTAGAGTGGTGGTACTGAACGCTATAACATCAGCAAAATCCAAATCTACGGTCAAAGGGGAAGCACTCGTGCATGCTTGTCGCTGTGTGATTGTACGGCGCTTCATGCACTGTTCATGCCGCCACAGTGGTATCGCTAAAATCTCTGTATCGTCCGAGCATGTACGTGTATCCGATTGATATTTGGATGCGATGTTGTTGGATGGCAGGTGTAGTCGTGTACCAAGTATGGCCGGTGTGCGTCCATAAATACAGCACCTCCGTCGAGCCTGTACGTGGGGGATGTTTCTGCGTGACTTGAAAGCAAATCCACACTTCCCGGGCGACAGTAGTATGATTGGAAACGCCGTGTCGTCCGAGCCCATGGGTGTATCCGATGGATCATTTACATATGTTATTGCCTGATGGCATCTGCAGGGATGTGCAAAACGGCGTAGCCGTGCACCCATAATCATACGACCTCCGTCGATCATGTGCATGGACCATGTCTGCTCTATTTGGAAGCCAATGCCGCGCGACGGTAGTATCCTGGAAAACTCTCTATCGTCTGACCCTATAAGTGTATCCGATTCATGTTTTGGCATGACATTGTCTTATGGCATCCGCAGTCATGTGCCGAGTATGGTTAGCGTACGTTCATAATTATACGACCTCCGTCGAGCATCAACATAGACTACTTCTGTGCTCTTTTAAAGCAACCTATGACAACTGCTATCGCCTCCTTTTCCCACCTATGATAAGTGCTATCGCCCCTTTTCCCACAAGATGGCTCGTACTGTGTATTACCAGTCGGATTTGTACTGTATGTTTAAAAAGCCATGGGAAATGTGTATTCGTCAGTCGTTGGCTAGGAAGCTGAAAATACCCACATGAATGCTATTGCTCCGTGTAATGGTCAAAGGGGAACAACTCGTGCGGTCTTATCAGAGTTTGCAGGGTGCCCAAAGCACAGGCACCGGCGCGTCACACTGTCCATTGTCTGTGGTACCAATTCCATGTATTGGTTTGAAGTACCTTTTATTATACATTCGTACTACCTACACTTACGTTCACCATGTAAAGGTGTGGGTCGACTGCCTCTTCAGGTCCATTGCCGATCTTATTATAATGAATTTATTATTAACACCCACTCATTCATTCATTCATTCATTCATTCATTCAGTCAGTCATTCATCAACGTTTCAAGTACTCTTTTGTTCTATTTGGGTGGTCCTGAAAAGGACCGTTGTATGTAAGTAGAAGCTCTGGTGAACTTGCTTCATGGAGCTGGTGTGCTTGTTCACAGCACGGCACTTTGTAGGTGATGTTGTTATGGTCGTGGCGGGATGCTGCAGCGGCGATTCTCTCGAAGACAGGGTTCACAAAGCAAAGGCAACATATCAGTACAGCCCCTGTTTCCAGGCGACGCTGGATCAGTGAACCTCTCTTTCTGTAGCTCTCTCTTGCTGCCATGCCTCCCACTGAAACAGGTGTTTACATGTCAACAAGCAATTAGTCACCTGCCTCCTCACAAAACACACAAGAATGATAAGTCCAAAAGCTCATGAACATCTGCAAACGGTGCATGTTCCGATGTCAAGCTGAAAACATACAGTGGGGTTAGTGTTGGGTTAGTGTTTGGCCTAACCCTGGGGTTAGTGTTGGATTTTTCCCTGGGGTTAGTGTTTGGTCTCCTGGTTCTGGACGGCCAGGGGATAATGTGACAACAGCAATAAAGCCCCGTGAAAAAGATGACCATCAGTCACTGGGTCGACTGTGTGTTCAGGTCCATTGCCGATCCTATTATAATGAATTTATTATGAACACCCACTCATTCTGTCATTCATTCATTCATCATTCAGTCATTCATCAACGTTTCAAGTATTCTTTTGTTTTATTTGGGTGGTCCTGAAAAGGACCGTTGTATGTTAGTAGAAGCTCAGGTGAACTTTCTTCTTGGAGCTGGTGTACTTGTTCACAGCACGGCACTTTGTAGGTGATGGCGGATGGCTGTTGTTATGGTCGTGATGGGATGCTGCAGCGGCGATTCTGAAACAGGTGTTTACAAGCAATTAGTTACCTGCCTCACAAAACACAAGAATAATAAGTCCAAAAAGCTCATGAACATCTGCAAACGGTGCATGTTTCGATGTCAAGCTGAAAACATACAGAGGTGTTAGTGTCAGGTATAAGACTGGGGTTAGTGTTTGGTCTAACCCTGGGGTTAGGTGCTGGGTGTAACTCTGGGGTTAGGGGTTAGGGTCAGGTGTTGGGTGTAACTCTGGGGTTAGGGTTAGGTTAGGTGTAACTCTGGGGTTAGGGTTAGGTGCTGGGTGTAACTCTGGGGTTAGGGTTAGGGTCAGGTGTTGGGTGTAACTCTGGGGTTAGGGTTAGGTGTAACTCTGGGGTTAGGTGCTGGGTGTAACTCTGGGGTTAGGGTTAGGGTTAGGTGTAAGGGTTAGGGTTAGGTGCTGGGTGTAACTCTGGGGTTAGGGTTAGGGTTTAGGTTAGGTGCTAGGGTGTAACTCTGGGGTTAGGGTTAGGTGTTAGGGTTAGGGTTAGGTGCTAGGGTGTAACTCTGGGGGGGTTAGGGGTTGGGGTCAGGTGTTTGGTGTGACCCTGGGGTTAGTCTCAGGGTTAGGGTTAGGGTAAGGGGTTAAGTGTTTGGTGTAACTCTGGGGTTAGTCTCAGGGTTAGGGTTAGTTAGGGTTGGGGTGTAAACTCTGGGGTTAGGGGTTAGGGTTAGGTGTAACTAACTCTGGGGTTAGGGGTTAGGGTTAGGTGCTAGGGTGTAACTCTGGGGTTAGGGTTAGGTGTTAGGGTTAGGGTTAGGGTGGGTGCTAGGGTGTAACTCTGGGGTTAGGGTTAGGGTCAGGTGTTTGGGTGTGACCCTGGGTTAGTTAGGGTTAGGGTTAGGGTTAGGTGCTGGGTGTAACTCTGGGGTTAGGGTTAGGGGTTAGGGTCAGGGCTAGGTGTTTGGTGTAACTCTGGGGTTAGTCTCAGGGTTAGGGTTAGGGGGTTAGGGTTAGGGTTAGGGTTAGGGTTAGGGTACCAGCTGATATGCGACATGAACATGTTCACGATCAGGGGCAGACAACTCTCTTTTCTGCCTTTATTTCTCTACAAAGTGCAGAGGAAATTGGCGGAATTACCTCCCTTTGTCAATTGCAAATGGCTGCCCGAAGCTATGAGCAGCTTTTCACTTGCAATTTGGTCCTATTTTAGGCATTGTTTTAATGTTATATTTAAGACATGAGTTTATTTCATGGCTTTTGGTATATACAAGATGATTTTAGTATATAGGACGCCTAAGAAACAGGGACAAAGTGCCAATGAGTTCAGTTTACTGGCCCATCCTACTTGTACATCATGACACCTATGTAAACAAACATTGAGGACAGGCTCAGTACAATGAATGGAAGTATACATGAGTTGTCCTATTCAAGAGTTGATATAGGTAATAGGTCAGATCTTAAACTATCTTCAAACGAACATTGAAACATGAAGTGAAACATGTTTTCTTAGTAGATGTTTGAATGATTGTTTATAGTTGAATTTTATACCCTTTCTTTTCACAACTGCTATGAACTATGAACTTCATAACAGCACCAACTGATACCACTACAAGTTATATCCAAACTAGGTGCAATACACAATACATAGGTAGCATATTCAATGGTGAAAGTAAACCTGTAGCTAAGCATGTTACCAGATGCAGTCCAACCTGCACAAGCCCTATGGCACATACAACACAAAAACAACACCATGAGAGAGAGAGAGAGTCTTTATTTCCTCCAGACGATCATCCTGAAAACCAAACCTATTATATACATGTCTACCTATGTATCTGTAGCATCTGCAGAAATGATGGGGAATAATGGGTGATGTAATATGCACTTAGACCCTATGCCTACCAGATACAGTCCATAGTCATCAGCTATGCATTATGTACTTATGCCTACTTATGTATATGTAGCATCTACAGAGAAGTAATGGATAATGTCCTACTGACTTAAGCCCTATGGCTACCCGATGTAGTTGAACCTGTCATTATTATCTATGTACCTATGCCCACTTATGTGTACATAGCGTCTAGAAATAAATAATGGATAATGTAAAACTGACTTAGGCCCTGTGGCTACCCTGTGTAGTTGAATCTGTCCTTATTATCTATGTACTATGTACCTGTGCTTGTTTATGTATATATAGCACACACTATCGGTCAAGCTTACGACCAAACCGGAAGTTGGCACAGCGAGTCTAACATGGGTGCGAAACCAACGCATGTACCTGCGCCTATTTATGCATAAATATGCATCTACAGTGAAGTAATGGATCCTATAACATCTTATATATACAACGGAGCATCCAATACAGGCCTGTGTTAAATACGACATGAAAACATTACCTTAAATAGGAAGAAATGGCCAGAAAATCCGCCTGTGAAAACCGTTGCTCTCCGCGGTCGGCCATTTCCCTCAAGATCCCCAACGGTCGCTCTCCCATCCGCTGCTCTGATTGGCTGTGTTTATGTTCGCTCTTATCCGGTCCTATCCCGTCCTGTCTGTGTTAGCGAGTTTGCACAGCCTAGGGTTGTCTGAACACTCTGCCGAGGCATGACAGTGAGGTGATTTCTTGTCCTAACTGACTATTCTTAGAGCCAAACACCCTGAAACTGATGTGTGCCATTAGAAAATGGTCATAACTGCTCACTTGTCAAAGTAATACCCGCAAAACCATGTATTTACGTCTCTAAAGCGTAAAAACAGCCAGTGTAATGCTTGGTTGTCTTCTCAGAGGTCCGCGCGCCTGATATATATATCACCGGCGACGGCTTTCAGTCTGAATGTCTCGGCTCTCGCAGAGCGACCATGTCTGTTTTTGACGATGTTGGAAAGGCGCTCACTATACCACAACACCTACCAGCAAATAAATGTCATGCCTGTATGTGTGATTCATCGACACACACATGTAATATGTACCTGTAATAGAATAGGTGATGGTACGTTGAAACCTTATGCTATATCATGCCACTTGTCTATATCTATGGCTATTGTTCCCTGCAGACTTACTAATTTGTGACCACATTGACTATGTGTACACTGTAAATGTATTTACTATGATCTTTCCGGAAAGAATACCACCACATAGTGTGTACTATAGAGAAGTCTCACCGTTTGGCAGTGTTATGAGTGTGTGCAGATGTCAAATGGTAGAACAGAGCATGCCACGCTAAAATCATAGAGATATGAATATAATATAACGGATGTGTTAGACTACTGAAGTCATAGTTTGCTTGAAAACAGTTTTATGTGTCGCTTCCCAGCAAAAGGGATCGAAATCTACCATCGGCGATAGCTGGCGCGGACGTCTGAGAAGACAATCTCTGGCTGCTGCTGAGGGGGCTGTGGAAACACTCTGCCGGTGCATGATAAATGACGTGATCTCTGGTCCTAACTGACTACTGTTAGAGCGAAACACCCTGAAACTGATGTGTGCCATTAGAAAATGGTCACAACTACTCACTTGTCAAAGTAATACCCGCAAAACCATGTATTTACGTCTCTAAAGCGTAAAACGGCCAGTTTAATGCTTGGTTGTCTTCTCAGAGGTCCGCGCGCCTGATATATATATATACAGTTACCGCTAAAACAGTTTTATATGCCGTCTCCCAGCAAAAACGGATCGAAATCGCCCATCGCCGGTGGCTGGCGCGGACGTCGTAGAAGACAATCGCTCGCTACTGCCGATGATTTCGATCCGGTTTTGGCTGAGTGTGGGAGAGTTGGGTAAAACACTCTCATCGTGGGCACTGCCGGCTACAGAGTTGGCGGGAGCTACCTATGTGATTAATAACTATATAAAAGGGGATAAACCCAACAAATGTGCATGAACTGACGTTCAGTTACCTTAATATTGAATGGAAACGTTTACAAACATGAGATTGAAAAAAATAAAGTGAAAAACGCCGAAATTATAAAGGCAAAGTGAACAAAAGGCAGTATTTATTAGTTCATGGCCAGTTATGACTAAAATGAAAGTTTTTGTAACTGGGGGCCCCGGAGGGGTGTGTGTGTGTTTGGTGTGTGTGTAGCGCTAGTTACATAATCAGGTAAAGCATAGTGACGTACAGTTCGGCTACATGTATATTGTGAGGAGGGCACAGAAGTTCAGTGGTCTCAGTAGCGGTTGAACCTCCCCAACATCCAGGATGTACTTGTCTCCAAGAAGACGCAGAAACGGTCCTTTTCAGGACCACTACATGTGACAAAAGAAAGCTTGAAAACCCCAATGCAAAGCAATAAATGCGGCCGGCAGCACAAACCCAGAGTTGCAAGCAAGCAAGCAATGCCACGACGTGGGGTCCTTGGCTTTAGTGGTATCATGTATAGTACACGTATAGGTCTGTCTGTCTGGCTGTCTGGCTAGAAATGCTCGTGCAAAACGGAGCCAGAAGAACAGGTTTTCGACAAAAAGGCGAGAGCGCATCTCGGCAAGAGAGCCGGTGACCCCGGGAGGCAGGGATCGCGGGGGGGTCATGCACCTTTTAAGAAGTTCCGGAGAAGAAATAGTGCCTCTCTTTAAAAGGCTGCATCTCAGCCGTTCGCGGGTGTAGGGTCAAGACAGTTAGCGTTCTGGAATCAGCCAGACTTCAGGGTGAGGGCTGAAAACAGAGGTGAGGGGCTGAAAACACAGGCATTCAAACGCACCACAAACACACACACACACGCGAACGGGTCAAACGCACACACACAGACACACGCACACGCGAACGGCTTTATGAGCAACCTCTTTCATTCATTCATTCATTCATTCATTCATTCATTCATTCATTCTGTCAGGCTTACTTTCATTCAGCCATTTTACGATTACAAATGCCATGATCGCAAGCCTAGCCTTGCCTCTCCTCTCCCATAGTCATGCTACTGCCACGAATCCTATCTGCAAAGAACGTAGAGTGGTGGTACTGAACGCTATAACATCAGCAAAATCCAAATCTACGGTCAAGGGGAAGCACTCGTGCATGCTTGTCGCTGTGTGATTGTACGGCGCTTCATGCACTGTTCATGCCGCCACAGTGGTATCACTAAAATCTCTGTATCGTCCGAGCATGTACGTGTATCCGATTGATATTTGGATGCGATGTTGTTGGATGGCAGGTGTAGTCGTGTACCAAGTATGGCCGGTGTGCGTCCATAAATACAGCACCTCCGTCGAGCCTGTACGTGGGGGATGTTTCTGCGTGACTTGAAAGCAAATCCACACTTCCCGGGCGACAGTAGTATGATTGGAAACGCCGTGTCGTCCGAGCCCATGGGTGTATCCGATGGATCATTTGCATATGTTATTGCCTGATGGCATCTGCAGGGATGTGTGCAAAACGGCGTAGCCGTGCACCCATAATCATACGACCTCCGTCGATCATGTGCATGGACCATGTCTGCGCTATTTGGAAGCCAATGCCGCGCGACGGTAGTATCCTGGAAAACTCTCTATCGTCTGACCCCATCAGTGTATCCGATTCATGTTTTGGCATGACATTGTCTTATGGCATCCGCAGTCATGTGCCGAGTATGGTTAGCGTACGTTCATAATTATACGACCTCCGTCGAGCATCAACATAGACTACTTCTGTGCTCTTTTAAAGCAACCTATGACAACTGCTATCGCCTCCTTTTCCCACCTATGATAAGTGCTATCGCCCCTTTTCCCAAAGATGGCTCGTACTGTGTATTACCAGTCGGATTTGTACTGTATGTTTAAAAAGCCATGGGAAATGTGTATTCGTCAGTCGTTGGCTAGGAAGCTGAAAATACCCACATGAATGCTATTGCTCCGTGTAATGGTCAAAGGGGAACAACTCGTGCGGTCTTATCAGAGTTTGCAGGGTGCCCAAAGCACAGGCACCGGCGCGTCACACTGTCCATTGTCTGTGGTACCAATTCCATGTATTGGTTTGAAGTACCTTTTATTATACATTCGTACTACCTACACTTACGTTCACCATGTAAAGGTGTGGGTCGACTGCCTCTTCAGGTCCATTGCCGATCTTATTATAATGAATTTATTATTAACACCCACTCATTCATTCATTCATTCATTCATTCATTCATTCAGTCATTCATCAACGTTTCAAGTACTCTTTTGTTCTATTTGGGTGGTCCTGAAAAGGACCGTTGTATGTAAGTAGAAGCTCTGGTGAACTTGCTTCATGGAGCTGGTGTGCTTGTTCACAGCACGGCACTTTGTAGGGGATGTTGTTATGGTCGTGGCGGGATGCTGCAGCGGCGGTTCTCTCGAAGACAGGGTTCACAAAGCAAAGGCAACATATCAGTACAGCCCCTGTTTCCAGGCGACGCTGGATCAGTGAACCTCTCTTTCTGTAGCTCTCTCTTGCTGCCATGTCTCCCACTGAAACAGGTGTTTACATGTCAACAAGCAATTAGTCACCTGCCTGCCTCACAAAACACAAGAATGACAAGTCCAAAAGCTCATGAACATCTGCAAACGGTGCATGTTCCGATGTCAAGCTGAAAACATACAGTGGGGTTAGTGTTGGGTTAGTGTTTGGCCTAACCCTGGGGTTAGTGTTGGATTTTTCCCTGGGGTTAGTGTTTGGTCTCCTGGTTCTGGACGGCCAGGGGATAATGTGACAACAGCAATAAAGCCCCGTGAAAAAAGATGACCATCAGTCACTGGGTCGACTGTGTGTTCAGGTCCATTGCCGATCCTATTATAATGAATTTATTATGAACACCCACTCATTCTGTCATTCATTCATTCATTCATTCAGTCATTCATCAACGTTTCAAGTATTCTTTTGTTTCATTTGGGTGGTCCTGAAAAGGACCGTTGTATGTTAGTAGAAGCTCAGGTGAACTTTCTTCTTGGAGCTGGTGTACTTGTTCACAGCACGGCACTTTGTAGGTGATGGCGGATGGCTCGTTGTTATGGTCGTGATGGGATGCTGCAGCGGCGATTCTGAAACAGGTGTTTACAAGCAATTAGTTACCTGCCTCACAAAACACAAGAATAATAAGTCCAAAAGCTCATGAACATCTGCAAACGGTGCATGTTTCGATGTCAAGCTGAAAACATACAGAGGTGTTAGTGTCAGGTATAAGACTGGGGTTAGTGTTTGGTCTAACCCTGGGGTTAGGTGCTGGGTGTAACTCTGGGGTTAGGGGTTAGGGTCAGGTGTTGGGTGTAACTCTGGGGTTAGGGGTTAGGGTTAGGTGTAACTCTGGGGTTAGGGTTAGGTGCTGGGTGTAACTCTGGGGTTAGGGGTTAGGGTCAGGTGTTGGGTGTAACTCTGGGGTTAGGGTTAGGTGTAACTCTGGGGTTAGGTGCTGGGTGTAACTCTGGGGTTAGGGTTAGGGTGTAACTCTGGGGTTAGGGTTAGGGTTAGGTGCTGGGTGTAACTCTGGGGTTAGGGGTTAGGGTTAGGTGCTAGGGTGTAACTCTGGGGTTAGGGTTAGGTGTAAGGGTTAGGGTTAGGTGCTAGGGTGTAACTCTGGGGTTAGGGGTTGGGGTCAGGTGTTTGGGTGTGACCCTGGGGTTAGGGTCAGGGTTAGGGGTTAGGGTAGGGTTAGGTGTTAGGTGTAACTCTGGGGTTAGTGTTTGGTGGTGTAACTCTGGGGTTAGTCTCAGGGTTAGGGGTTAGGTGCTGGGTGTAACTCTGGGGTTAGGGTTAGGGTTAGGGTTAGGTGTAACTCTGGGGTTAGGGTTAGGGGTTGCTAGGGTGGGGGTAACTCTGGGGTTAGGGTTAGGTGTAAGGGTTAGGGTTAGGTGCTAGGGTGTAACTCTGGGGTTAGGGGTTAGGGTCAGGTGTTTGGTGTGACCCTGGGGGTTAGGGTCTCAGGGTTAGGGTTAGGTGCTGGGTGTAACTCTGGGGTTAGGGTTAGGGTTAGGGTTAGGGTTAGGTGTTTGGTGGTGTAACTCTGGGGTTAGTCTCAGGGTTAGGGTTAGGGTTAGGGTTAGGGTTAGGGTTAGGGTTAGGCGAGACAGGGTACCAGGGTACCAGCTGATATGCGACATGAACATGTTCACGATCAGGGGCAGACAACTCTCTTTTCTGCCTTTATTTCTCTACAAAGTGCAGAGGAAATTGGCGGAATTACCTCCCTTTGTCAATTGCAAATGGCTGCCCGAAGCTATGAGCAGCTTTTCACTTGCAATTTGGTCCTATTTTAGGCATTGTTTTAATGTTATATTTAAGACATGAGTTTATTTCATGGCTTTTGGTATATACAAGATGATTTTAGTATATAGGACGCCTAAGAAACAGGGACAAAGTGCCAATGAGTTCAGTTTACTGGCCCATCCTACTTGTACATCATGACACCTATGTAAACAAACATTGAGGACAGGCTCAGTACAATGAATGGAAGTATACATGAGTTGTCCTATTCAAGAGTTGATATAGGTAATAGGTCAGATCTTAAACTATCTTCAAACGAACATTGAAACATGAAGTGAAACATGTTTTCTTAGTAGATGTTTGAATGATTGTTTATAGTTGAATTTTATACCCTTTCTTTTCACAACTGCTATGAACTATGAACTTCATAACAGCACCAACTGATACCACTACAAGTTATATCCAAACTAGGTGCAATACACAATACATAGGTAGCATATTCAATGGTGAAAGTAAACCTGTAGCTAAGCATGTTACCAGATGCAGTCCAACCTGCACAAGCCCTATGGCACATACAACACAAAAACAACACCATGAGAGAGAGAGAGAGAGTATTTCCTCCAGACGATCATCCTGAAAACCAAACCTATTATATACATGTCTACCTATGTATCTGTAGCATCTGCAGAAATGATGGGGAATAATGGGTGATGTAATATGCACTTAGACCCTATGCCTACCAGATACAGTCCATAGTCATCAGCTATGCATTATGTACTTATGCCTACTTATGTATATGTAGCATCTACAGAGAAGTAATGGATAATGTCCTACTGACTTAAGCCCTATGGCTACCCGATGTAGTTGAACCTGTCATTATTATCTATGTACCTATGCCCACTTATGTGTACATAGCGTCTAGAAAAATAATGGATATATGTAAAACTGACTTAGGCCCTGTGGCTACCCTGTGTAGTTGAATCTGTCCTTATTATCTATGTACTATGTACCTGTGCTTGTTTATGTATATATAGCACACACTATCGGTCAAGCTTACGACCAAACCGGAAGTTGGCACAGCGAGTCTAACATGGGTGCGAAACCAACGCATGTACCTGCGCCTATTTATGCATAAATAGCATCTACAGTGAAGTAATGGATCCTATAACATCTTATATATACAACGGAGCATCCAATAAAGGCCTGTGTTAAATACGACATGAAAACATTACCTTAAATAGGAAGAAATGGCCAGAAAATCCGCCTGTGAAAAACCGTTGCTCTCCGCGGTCGGCCATTTCCCTCAAGATCCCCAACGGTCGCTCTCCCATCCGCTGCTCTGATTGGCTGTGTTTATGTTCGCTCTTATCCGGTCCTATCCCGTCCTGTCTGTGTTAGCGAGTTTGCACAGCCTAGGGTTGTCTGAACACTCTGCCGAGGCATGACAGTGAGGTGATTTCTTGTCCTAACTGACTATTCTTAGAGCCAAACACCCTGAAACTGATGTGTGCCATTAGAAAATGGTCATAACTGCTCACTTGTCAAAGTAATACCCGCAAAACCATGTATTTACGTCTCTAAAGCGTAAAAACAGCCAGTGTAATGCTTGGTTGTCTTCTCAGAGGTCCGCGCGCCTGATATATATATCACCGGCGACGGCTTTCAGTCTGAATGTCTCGGCTCTCGCAGAGCGACCATGTCTGTTTTGACGATGTTGGAAAGGCGCTCACTATACCACAACACCTACCAGCAAATAAATGTCATGCCTGTATGTGTGATTCATCGACACACCTATGTAATATGTACCTGTAATAGAATAGGTGATGGTACGTTGAAACCTTATGCTATATCATGCCACTTGTCTATATCTATGGCTATTGTTCCCTGCAGACTTACTAATTTGTGACCACATTGACTATGTGTACACTGTAAATGTATTTACTATGATCTTTCCGGAAAGAATACCACCACATAGTGTGTACTATAGAGAAGTCTCACCGTTTGGCAGTGTTATGAGTGTGTGCAGATGTCAAATGGTAGAACAGAGCATGCCACGCTAAAATCATAGAGATATGCATATAATATAACGGATGTGTTAGACTACTGAAGTCATAGTTTGCTTGAAAACAGTTTTATGTGTCGCTTCCCAGCAAAAGGGATCGAAATCTACCATCGGCGATAGCTGGCGCGGACGTCTGAGAAGACAATCTCTGGCTGCTGCTGAGGGAGGGCTGTGGAAACACTCTGCCGGTGCATGATAAATGACGTGATTTCTGGTCCTAACTGACTACTGTTAGAGCGAAACACCCTGAAACTGATGTGTGCCATTAGAAAATGGTCACAACTACTCACTTGTCAAAGTAATACCCGCAAAACCATGTATTTACGTCTCTAAAGCGTAAAACGGCCAGTTTAATGCTTGGTTGTCTTCTCAGAGGTCCGCGCGCCTGATATATATATATACAGTTACCGCTAAAACAGTTTTATATGCCGTCTCCCAGCAAAAACGGATCGAAATCGCCCATCGCCGGTGGCTGGCGCGGACGTCGTAGAAGACAATCGCTCGCTACTGCCGATGATTTCGATCCGGTTTTGGCTGAGTGTGGGAGAGTTGGGTAAAACACTCTCATCGTGGGCACTGCCGGCTACAGAGTTGGCGGGAGCTACCTATGTGATTAATAACTATATGAAAGGGATAAACCCAACAAATGTGCATGAACTGACGTTCAGTTACCTTAATATTGAATGGAAACGTTTACAAACATGAGATTGAAAAAAATAAAGTGAAAAACGCCGAAATTATAAAGGCAAAGTGAACAAAAGGCAGTATTTATTAGTTCATGGCCAGTTATGACTAAAATGAAAGTTTTTGTAACTGGGGGCCCCGGAGGGGTGTGTGTGTGTTTGGTGTGTGTGTAGCGCTAGTTACATAATCAGGTAAAGCATAGTGACGTACAGTTCGGCTACATGTATATTGTGAGGAGGGCACAGAAGTTCAGTGGTCTCAGTAGCGGTTGAACCTCCCCAACATCCAGGATGTACTTGTCTCCAAGAAGACGCAGAAACGGTCCTTTTCAGGACCACTACATGTGACAAAAGAAAGCTTGAAAACCCCAATGCAAAGCAATAAATGCGGCCGGCAGCACAAACCCAGAGTTGCAAGCAAGCAAGCAATGCCACGACGTGGGGTCCTTGGCTTTAGTGGTATCATGTATAGTACACGTATAGGTCTGTCTGTCTGGCTGTCTGGCTAGAAATGCTCGTGCAAAACGGAGCCAGAAGAACAGGTTTTCGACAAAAAGGCGAGAGCGCATCTCGGCAAGAGAGCCGGTGACCCCGGGAGGCAGGGATCGCGGGGGGTCATGCACCTTTTAAGAAGTTCCGGAGAAGAAATAGTGCCTCTCTTTAAAAGGCTGCATCTCAGCCGTTCGCGGGTGTAGGGTCAAGACAGTTAGCGTTCTGGAATCAGCCAGACTTCGTCAGGGTGAGGGCTGAAAACAGAGGCATTGGGGGCCCTAAACACACCATTCAAACGCACACACACAGACACACGCACACGCGAACGGCTTTATGAGCAACCTCTTTCATTCATTCATTCATTCATTCATTCATTCATTCTGTCAGGCTTACTTTCATTCAGCCATTTTACGCTTACAAATGCCATGATCGCAAATGCCTAGCCTAGCCTCTCCTCTCCTCTCCCATAGTCATGCTACTGCCACGAATCCTATCTGCAAAGAACGTAGAGTGGTGGTACTGAACGCTATAACATCAGCAAAATCCAAATCTACGGTCAAAGGGGAAGCACTCGTGCATGCTTGTCGCTGTGTGATTGTACGGCGCTTCATGCACTGTTCATGCCGCCACAGTGGTATCGCTAAAATCTCTGTATCGTCCGAGCATGTACGTGTATCCGATTGATATTTGGATGCGATGTTGTTGGATGGCAGGTGTAGTCGTGTACCAAGTATGGCCGGTGTGCGTCCATAAATACAGCACCTCCGTCGAGCCTGTACGTGGGGGATGTTTCTGCGTGACTTGAAAGCAAATCCACACTTCCCGGGCGACAGTAGTATGATTGGAAACGCCGTGTCGTCCGAGCCCATGGGTGTATCCGATGGATCATTTACATATGTTATTGCCTGATGGCATCTGCAGGGATGTGCAAAACGGCGTAGCCGTGCACCCATAATCATACGACCTCCGTCGATCATGTGCATGGACCATGTCTGCGCTATTTGGAAGCCAATGCCGCGCGACGGTAGTATCCTGGAAAACTCTCTATCGTCTGACCCTATCAGTGTATCCGATTCATGTTTTGGCATGACATTGTCTTATGGCATCCGCAGTCATGTGCCGAGTATGGTTAGCGTACGTTCATAATTATACGACCTCCGTCGAGCATCAACATAGACTACTTCTGTGCTCTTTTAAAGCAACCTATGACAACTGCTATCGCCTCCTTTTCCCACCTATGATAAGTGCTATCGCCCCTTTTCCCACAAGATGGCTCGTACTGTGTATTACCAGTCGGATTTGTACTGTATGTTTAAAAAGCCATGGGAAATGTGTATTCGTCAGTCGTTGGCTAGGAAGCTGAAAATACCCACATGAATGCTATTGCTCCGTGTAATGGTCAAAGGGGAACAACTCGTGCGGTCTTATCAGAGTTTGCAGGGTGCCCAAAGCACAGGCACCGGCGCGTCACACTGTCCATTGTCTGTGGTACCAATTCCATGTATTGGTTTGAAGTACCTTTTATTATACATTCGTACTACCTACACTTTACGTTCACCATGTAAAGGTGTGGGTCGACTGCCTCTTCAGGTCCATTGCCGATCTTATTATAATGAATTTATTATTAACACCCACTCATTCTGCCATTCTGCCATTCATTCATTCATTCATTCAGTCATTCATCAACGTTTCAAGTACTCTTTTGTTCTATTTGGGTGGTCCTGAAAAGGACCGTTGTATGTAAGTAGAAGCTCTGGTGAACTTGCTTCATGGAGCTGGTGTGCTTGTTCACAGCACGGCACTTTGTAGGTGATGTTGTTATGGTCGTGGCGGGATGCTGCAGCGGCGATTCTCTCGAAGATAGGGTTCACAAAGCAAAGGCAACATATCAGTACAGCCCCTGTTTCCAGGCGACGCTGGATCAGTGAACCTCTCTTTCTGTAGCTCTCTCTTGCTGCCATGTCTCCCACTGAAACAGGTGTTTACATGTCAACAAGCAATTAGTTACCTGCCTCACAAAACACAAGAATAATAAGTCAAAAAGCTCATGAACATCTGCAAACGGTGCATGTTCCGATGTCAAGCTGAAAACATACAGTGGGGTTAGTGTTGGGTTAGTGTTTGGCCTAACCCTGGGGTTAGTGTTGGATTTTTCCCTGGGGTTAGTGTTTGGTCTCCTGGTTCTGGACGGCCAGGGGATAATGTGACAACAGCAATAAAGCCCCGTGAAAAAGATGACCATCAGTCACTGGGTCGACTGTGTGTTCAGGTCCATTGCCGATCCTATTATAATGAATTTATTATGAACACCCACTCATTCTGTCATTCATTCATTCATTCAGTCATTCATCAACGTTTCAAGTATTCTTTTGTTTCATTTGGGTGGTCCTGAAAAGGACCGTTGTATGTTAGTAGAAGCTCAGGTGAACTTTCTTCTTGGAGCTGGTGTACTTGTTCACAGCACGGCACTTTGTAGGTGATGGCGGATGGCTTGTTATGGTCGTGTGATGGGATGCTGCAGCGGCGATTCTGAAACAGGTGTTTACAAGCAATTAGTTACCTGCCTCACAAAACACAAGAATAATAAGTCCAAAAGCTCATGAACATCTGCAAACGGTGCATGTTTCGATGTCAAGCTGAAAACATACAGAGGTGTTAGTGTCAGGTATAAGACTGGGGTTAGTGTTTGGTCTAACCCTGGGGTTAGGTGCTGGGGTGTAACTCTGGGGTTAGGGTTAGGGTCAGGTGTTGGGTGTAACTCTGGGGTTAGGGTTAGGTGTTGGGTTAGGTGCTGGGTGTAACTCTGGGGTTAGGGGTTAGGGGTGTAACTCTGGGGTTAGGGTTAGGTGTAACTCTGGGGTTAGGGGGTGTAACTCTGGGGTTGGGGTTAGGTGTTAGGTGTAACTCTGTAGGGTCAGGTTAGGTGCTAGGTGTAACTCTGGGGTTAGGGGTTAGGGTTAGGTGTTAGGGTGTAACTCTGGGGTTAGGGTTAGGTGTTAGGTGTAAGGGTTAGGGTTAGGTGCTGGGTGTAACTCTGGGGTTAGGGGTTGGGGTCAGGTAGGGGTTAGGGTTAGGTGTAACTAGGACTGGGGTTAGTGTTTGGTGTAACTCTGGGGTTAGTCTCAGGGTTAGGGTTAAGTGCTGGGTGTAACTCTGGGGTTAGGGTTAGGGGTTAGGTGTAACTAGGGGTTAGGGGTTAGGGTTAGGGTTAGGTGAAACCTGGGGTTAGGGTAGGGGTGTTAGGGGTAGGGTTAGGGTTAGGGTTAGGTTGGGTGACCCTGGGGTTAGGGTTAGGTGCTTAGGGGTTAGGGTTAGGGGTTAGGGTTAGGTGTAGGGTGTAACTCTGGGGTTAGGGTTAGGGTTAGGGTTAGGGTAGGGTTAGGGCGAGACAGGGTACCAGCTGATATGCGACATGAACATGTTCACGATCAGGGGCAGACAACTCTCTTTTCTGCCTTTATTTCTCTACAAAGTGCAGAGGAAATTGGCGGAATTACCTCCCTTTGTCAATTGCAAATGGCTGCCCGAAGCTATGAGCAGCTTTTCACTTGCAATTTGGTCCTATTTTAGGCATTGTTTTAATGTTATATTTAAGACATGAGTTTATTTCATGGCTTTTGGTATATACAAGATGATTTTAGTATATAGGACGCCTAAGAAACAGGGACAAAGTGCCAATTAGTTCAGTTTACTGGCCCATCCTACTTGTACATCATGACACCTATGTAAACAAACATTGAGGACAGGCTCAGTACAATGAATGGAAGTATACATGAGTTGTCCTATTCAAGAGTTGATATAGGTAATAGGTCAGATCTTAAACTATCTTCAAACGAACATTGAAACATGAAGTGAAACATGTTTTCTTAGTAGATGTTTGAATGATTGTTTATAGTTGAATTTTATACCCTTTCTTTTCACAACTGCTATGAACTATGAACTTCATAACAGCACCAACTGATACCACTACAAGTTATATCCAAACTAGGTGCAATACACAATACATAGGTAGCATATTCAATGGTGAAAGTAAACCTGTAGCTAAGCATGTTACCAGATGCAGTCCAACCTGCACAAGCCCTATGGCACATACAACACAAAACAACACCATGAGAGAGAGAGAGTCTTTATTTCCTCCAGACGATCATCCTGAAAACCAAACCTATTATATACATGTCTACCTATGTATCTGTAGCATCTGCAGAAATGATGGGGAATAATGGGTGATGTAATATGCACTTAGACCCTATGCCTACCAGATACAGTCCATAGTCATCAGCTATGCATTATGTACTTATGCCTACTTATGTATATGTAGCATCTACAGAGAAGTAATGGATAATGTCCTACTGACTTAAGCCCTATGGCTACCAGATGTAGTTGAACCTGTCATTATTATCTATGTACCTATGCCCACTTATGTGTACATAGCGTCTAGAAATAAATAATGGATAATGTAAAACTGACTTAGGCCCTGTGGCTACCCTGTGTAGTTGAATCTGTCCTTATTATCTATGTACTATGTACCTGTGCTTGTTGATGTATATGTAGCATACACTATCGGTCAAGCTTACGACCAAAGCGGAAGTTGGCACAGCGAGTCTAACATCGATGCGAAACCAACGCATGTACCTGCGCCTATTTATGCATAAATAGCATCTACAGTGACGTAATGGATCATATAACATCTTATATATACAACAGAGCATCCAATAGAGGCCTGTGTTAAATACGACATGAAAACATTACCTTAAATATGAAGAAATGGCCAGAAAATCCGCCTGTGAAAAACCGTTCCTCTCCGCGGTCAGCCATTTCCCTCAAGATCCCCAACGGTCGCTCTCTCATCCGCTGCTCTGATTGGCTGTGTTTATGTTCGCTCTTATCCGGTCCTATCCCGTCCTGTCTGTGTTAGCGAGTTTGCACAGCCTAGGGTTGTCTGGACACTCTGCCGAGGCATGACAATGACGTGATTTCTTGTCCTAACTCACTATTCTTAGAGCCAAACACCCTGAAACTGATGTGTGCCATTAGAAAATGGTCATAACTGCTCACTTGTCAAAGTAATACCCGCCAAACCATGTATTTACGTCTCTAAAGCGTAAAAACAGCCAGTGTAATGCTTGGTTGTCTTCTCAGAGGTCCGCGCGCCTGATATATATATCACCGGCGACGGCTTTCAGTCTGAATGTCTGTCGGCTCTCGCAGAGCGACCATGTCTGTTTTGACGATGTTGGAAAGGCGCTCACTATACCATAACACCTACCAGCAAATAAATGTCATGCCTGTATGTGTGATTCATCGACACACCTACGTAATATGTACCTGTAATAGAATAGGTGATGGTACGTTGAAACCTTATGTTATATCATGCCACTTGTCTATATCTATGGCTATTGTTCCCTGCAGACTTACTAATTTGTGACCACATTGACTATGTGTACACTGTAAATGTATTTACTATGATCTTTCCGGAAAGAATACCACCACATAGTGTGTACTATAGAGAAGTCTCACCGTTTGGCAGTGTTATGAGTGTGTGCAGATGTCAAATGGTAGAACAGAGCATGCCACGCTAAAATCATAGAGATATGCATACAATATAACGGATGTGTTAGACTACTGAAGTCATAGTTTGCTTGAAAACAGTTTTATGTGTCGCTTCCCAGCAAAAGGGATCGAAATCTACCATCGGCGATAGCTGGCGCGGACGTCTGAGAAGACAATCTCTCGCTGCTGCCGAGGGAGGGCTGTGGAAACACTCTGCCGGTGCATGATAAATGACGTGATTTCTGGTCCTAACTGACTACTGTTAGAGCGAAACACCCTGAAACTGATGTGTGCCATTAGAAAATGGTCACAACTACTCACTTGTCAAAGTAATACCCGCAAAACCATGTATTTACGTCTCTAAAGCGTAAAAACGGCCAGTTTAATGCTTGGTTGTCTTCTCAGAGGTCCGCGCGCCTGATATATATACAGTTACCGCTAAAACAGTTTTATATGCCGTCTCCCAGCAAAAACGGATCGAAATCGCCCATCGCCGGTGGCTGGCGCGGACGTCGTAGAAGACAATCGCTCGCTACTGCCGATGATTTCGATCCGGTTTTGGCTGAGTGTGGGAGAGTTGGGTAAAACACTCTCATCGTGGGCACTGCCGGCTACAGAGTTGGCGGGAGCTACCTATGTGATTAATAACTATATGAAAGGGGATAAACCCAACAAATGTGCATGAACTGACGTTCAGTTACCTTAATATTGAATGGAAACGTTTACAAACATGAGATTGAAAAAAATAAAGTGAAAAACGCCGAAATTATAAAGGCAAAGTGAACAAAAGGCAGTATTTATTAGTTCATGGCCAGTTATGACTAAAATGAAAGTTTTTGTAACTGGGGGCCCCGGAGGGGTGTGTGTGTGTTTGGTGTGTGTGTAGCGCTAGTTACATAATCAGGTAAAGCATAGTGACGTACAGTTCGGCTACATGTATATTGTGAGGAGGGCACAGAAGTTCAGTGGTCTCAGTAGCGGTTGAACCTCCCCAACATCCAGGATGTACTTGTCTCCAAGAAGACGCAGAAACGGTCCTTTTCAGGACCACTACATGTGACAAAAGAAAGCTTGAAAACCCCAATGCAAAGCAATAAATGCGGCCGGCAGCACAAACCCAGAGTTGCAAGCAAGCAAGCAATGCCACGACGTGGGGTCCTTGGCTTTAGTGGTATCATGTATAGTACACGTATAGGTCTGTCTGTCTGTCTGGCTGTCTGGCTAGAAATGCTCGTGCAAAACGGAGCCAGAAGAACAGGTTTTCGACAAAAAGGCGAGAGCGCATCTCGGCAAGAGAGCCGGTGACCCCGGGAGGCAGGGATCGCGGGGGTCATGCACCTTTAAGAAGTTCCGGAGAAGAAATAGTGCCTCTCTTTAAAAGGCTGCATCTCAGCCGTTCGCGGGTGTAGGGTCAAGACAGTTAGCGTTCTGGAATCAGCGAGACTTCGTCAGGGTGAGGGCTGAAAACAGAGGCATTGGGGGCCCTAAACACACCATTCAAACGCACACGCACACACAGACACACGCACACGCGAACGGCTTTATGAGCAACCTCTTTCATTCATTCATTCATTCATTCATTCATTCATTCATTCATTCATTCATTCATTCTGTCAGGCTTACTTTCATTCAGCCATTTTACGCTTACAAATGCCATGATCGCAAGCCTAGCCTTGCCTCTCTCTCCTCCCCATAGTCATGCTACTGCCACGAATCCTATCTGCAAAGAACGTAGAGTGGTGGTACTGAACGCTATAACATCAGCAGCAAAATCCAAATCTACGGTCAAAGGGGAAGCACTCGTGCATGCTTGTCGCTGTGTGATTGTACGGCGCTTCATGCACTGTTCATGCCGCCACAGTGGTATCACTAAAATCTCTGTATCGTCCGAGCATGTACGTGTATCCGATTGATATTTGGATGCGATGTTGTTGGATGGCAGGTGTAGTCGTGTACCAAGTATGGCCGGTGTGCGTCCATAAATACAGCACCTCCGTCGAGCCTGTACGTGGGGGATGTTTCTGCGTGACTTGAAAGCAAATCCACAGTTCCCGGGCGACAGTAGTATGATTGGAAACGCCGTGTCGTCCGAGCCCATGGGTGTATCCGATGGATATTTACATATGTTATTGCCTGATGGCATCTGCAGGGATGTGCAAAACGGCGTAGCCGTGCACCCATAATCATACGACCTCCGTCGATCATGTGCATGGACCATGTCTGCGCTATTTGGAAGCCAATGCCGCGCGACGGTAGTATCCTGGAAAACTCTCTATCGTCTGACCCTATACGTGTATCCGATTCATGTTTTGGCATGACATTGTCTTATGGCATCCGCAGTCATGTGCCGAGTATGGTTAGCGTACGCTCATAATTATACGACCTCCGTCGAGCATCAACATAGACTACTTCTGTGCTCTTTTACAGCAACATATTACAACTGCTATCGCCTCCTTTTCCCACCTATGATAAGTGCTATCGCCCCTTTTCCCACAAGATGGCTCGTACTGTGTATTACCAGTCGGATTTGTACTGTATGTTTAAAAAGCCATGGGAAATGTGTATTCGTCAGTCGTTGGCTAGGAAGCTGAAAATACCCAGATGAATGCTATTGCTCCGTGTAATGGTCAAAGGGGAACAACTCGTGCGGTCTTATCAGAGTTTGCAGGGTGCCCAAAGCACAGGCACCGGCGCGTCACACTGTCCATTGTCTGTGGTACCAATTCCATGTATTGGTTTGAAGTACCTTTTATTATACATTCGTACTACCTACACTTACGTTCACCATGTAAAGGTGTGGGTCGACTGCCTCTTCAGGTCCATTGCCGATCTTATTATAATGAATTTATTATTAACACCCACTCATTCATTCATTCATTCATTCATTCATTCAGTCATTCAGTCATTCATCAACGTTTCAAGTACTCTTTTGTTCTATTTGGGTGGTCCTGAAAAGGACCGTTGTATGTAAGTAGAAGCTCTGGTGAACTTGCTTCATGGAGCTGGTGTGCTTGTTCACAGCACGGCACTTTGTAGGTGATGTTGTTATGGTCGTGGCGGGATGCTGCAGCGGCGATTCTCTCGAAGACAGGGTTCACAAAGCAAAGGCAACATATCAGTACAGCCCTGTTTCCAGGCGACGCTGGATCAGTGAACCTCTCTTTCTGTAGCTCTCTTGCTGCCATGTCTCCCACTGAAACAGGTGTTTACATGTCAACAAGCAATTAGTCACCTGCCTCACAAAACACAAGAATGATAAGTCCAAAAGCTCATGAACATCTGCAAACGGTGCATGTTCCGATGTCAAGCTGAAAACATACAGTGGGGTTAGTGTTGGGTTAGTGTTTGGCCTAACCCTGGGGTTAGTGTTGGATTTTTCCCTGGGGTTAGTGTTTGGTCTACTGGTTCTGGACGGCCAGGGGATAATGTGACAACAGCAATAAAGCCCCGTGAAAAAGATGACCATCAGTCACTGGGTCGACTGTGTGTTCAGGTCCATTGCCGATCCTATTATAATGAATTTATTATGAACACCCACTCATTCTGTCATTCATTCATTCAGTCATTCAGTCATTCATCAACGTTTCAAGTATTCTTTTGTTTTATTTGGGTGGTCCTGAAAAGGACCGTTGTATGTTAGTAGAAGCTCAGGTGAACTTTCTTCTTGGAGCTGGTGTACTTGTTCACAGCACGGCACTTTGTAGGTGATGGCGGATGGCTTGTTGTTATGGTCGTGATGGGATGCTGCAGCGGCGATTCTGAAACAGGTGTTTACAAGCAATTAGTTACCTGCCTCACAAAACACAAGAATAATAAGTCCAAAAGCTCATGAACATCTGCAAACGGTGCATGTTTCGATGTCAAGCTGAAAACATACAGAGGTTAGTGTTTGCCAGTGTCAGGTATAAGACTGGGGTTAGTGTTTGGTCTAACCCTGGGGTTTCCAGTGCTGGGTGTAACTCTGGGGTTAGGGGTTAGGGTCAGGTGTTGGGTGTAACTCTGGGGTTAGGGTTAGGTGTAACTCTGGGGTTAGGGTTAGGTCAGGCACAGGGTTAGGGGTGTAACTCTCAGGGGTTAGGGGTTAGGGTCAGGTGTTGGGTGTAACTCTGGGGTTAGGGTAGGGTTAGGTGTAACTCTGGGGTTAGGTGCTGGGTGTAACTCTGGGGTTAGGGTTAGGTGTAAGGGTTAGGGTTAGGTGCTAGGTGTAAGTGTAACTCTGGGGTTAGGGTTAGGGTTAACTCTGCTAGGGTTAGGGTAAGGGTGGGGTTAGGTGTTAGGTGTAAGGGTTAGGGTTAGGTGTTAGGGTGTAACTCTGGGGTTAGGGTTAGGGGTTAGGGTCAGGTGTTTGGTGTAACTCTGGGGTTAGGGTCTCAGGGTTGGGGTTAGGGTAAGGGTTAAGTGTTTGGTGTAACTCTGGGGTTAGGTGTAAACTCTGGGGTTAGGGTTAGGGTTAGGCTGGGTGTAACTCTGGGGTTAGGGGTTAGGGTTAGGGGTGCTAGGGTGTAACTCTGGGGTTAGGGTTAGGTGTAAGGGTTAGGGTTAGGTGCTAGGGTGTAACTCTGGGGTTAGGGGTTAGGGTCAGGTGTTTGGTGTGACCCTGGGGTTAGTCTCAGGGTTAGGGTTAGGTGCTGGGTGTAACTCTGGGGTTAGGGTTAGGGTTAGGGTCAGGAGGGCTAGGTGTTTGGTGTAACTCTGGGGTTAGTCTCAGGGTTAGGAGTTAGGGTTAGGTTGGGTTAGGGGGTTAGGGCGAGACAGGGTACCAGCTGATATGCGACATGAACATGTTCACGATCAGGGGCAGACAACTCTCTTTTTTCTGCCTTTATTTCTCTACAAAGTGCAGAGGAAATTGGCGGAATTACCTCCCTTTGTCAATTGCAAATGGCTGCCCGAAGCTATGAGCAGCTTTTCACTTGCAATTTGGTCCTATTTTAGGCATTGTTTTAATGTTATATTTAAGACATGAGTTTATTTAATGGCTTTTTGGTATATATAAGATGATTTTAGTATATAGGACGCCTAAGAAACAGGGACAAAGTGCCAATTAGTTCAGTTTACTGGCCCATCCTACTTGTACATCATGACACCTATGTAAACAAACATTGAGGACAGGCTCAGTACAATGAATGGAAGTATACATGAGTTGTCCTATTCAAGAGTTGATATAGGTAATAGGTCAGATCTTAAACTATCTTCAAACGAACATTGAAACATGAAGTGAAACATGTTTGGTGGTAATTGAACGCAACAACATCAGCAAAATCCAAATCTATGGTCAAAGGGGGAAGCACTCGTGCATGCTTGTCCTGTGTGATTGTACGGCGCTTCATGCACTGTTCATGCCGCAGTGGTATCACTAAAATCTCTGTATCGTCCGAGCATGTACGTGTATCCGATTGATATTTGGATATGATGTTGTTGGATGGCAGGTGTAGTCGTGTACCAAGTATGGCCGGTGTGCGTCCATAAATATAGCACCTCCGTGTAGGGCTCTCACCAGTACTCGGGTACTCGGGGCCGAGTCGGGTAAATCGGGGGACCTAAAACATCCAATGTCGGTACGTCTGACGCATTTTTATCTTTATTTAGTGGCCAAAATACGAAATGCCGTCTTTGTGGCGTTTCCCTTAGTTGCACAAGCATTTGTCCTGTAAGCACCCACAATAAGCACTGTAAACCAGCTCAACAAACAACGCTGGGTCAGTTTGGTAAGTTTGACAGCAAAAGTCGCAAGCCTGTTGACAGGAAATGGTATGAAGGTATTACGCAAAAAGCAATGCTTATGCGCGTTAAGGATATGCGACCATTAAGTCTTGTTAAAGGGGAGGGTTCCAGGGCTTTCTGTGAACCATTGAACCCAAATTACCAGGTCCCATGTACTGCGACAATTCACAACTACCTCATAAAGACGTATGAAGTTTGCAAGCAGAACAAAATATCAGTACCCAAAACAGTACCTGCCGTTGCCCTAACTACGGACGCGTGGACAAGCGTAGCCACTCACGGCTGTATCACTGTCACTGCCCACTATACCTATTTTTGAACAACTTGTTTTCTACATAGATATTCAGTCGTTCTTATGCAGCGTATTTCAGTGTTACATATTCAACAATCAACACATACATACGCATTCAAAATAACATTCACACTTGGAGACCTATATCCCTAATAGTGAAAGTTTTAATCACAATGAATACCATTGACGTTATCTCCGTTCAGCAGAGTTTTGGAAAAAGAAATACAATGTAGTGTTACTCAATAAATGGTTAGTCTTTAGTTTGAAACCAAAACTCTTTCACTATAAGAAATCTCAAATACACATCAATCCTGTTTTACATATTCTTTAAGTTCCATAGTCGATCCATCTTTACAAGATACTAGTATATAATGCAGCACCAATCAATAAATGCTTTATCTATGTATCTTCCAGCTTTGGAACGTATTTTGCCGCATTTTAACCTTGATTAAGGTTAATTGATTATGTCACTTATCGTCTAGGTGAATGTTTAAAACTTGCCAATATGTCATAACTGCAACGACATATTAATATTATATAATCTTCAAAGTGCAGTCAAACTTAAGTATCACCGGCCCAGCTCGTGAATATTAATCACATAACTGATCGCGTAGAACTGGGTCACAGTGACACTTACGTTGCCTTCACATTCTGTTTGCAATCATAAAACGGTAATAGATACTTCCATTGACATTGAATATCAATTGCTTTATTCAGGAACGTTTTTATTCACATATACATGTTGCATTATTCGTAGATTGGAAGTTGGAACAGCTACGTGTATGCTTGAATGTTGGTTTCACATAAGCATCCAAATTGTCGGGTACTCGGGTCCGAGTCGGGTCTCACACCTCGAGTACTCGAGTCCCAAATTTTGGACTCGTGAGAGCCTTACCTCCGTCGAGCCTGTACGCGGACTGTTTCTGCGTGACTTGAAAGCAAATCCACCGTTCCCAGGCCACAGTAGTATGATTGAAAACGCCGTGTCGCCCGAGCCTAAGGGTGTATCGGATGGATATTGAGATGGCATCTGCAGGGATATGCAAAACGGCGTAGCCGTGCACCCACAATCATACGACCTCCGTCCAGCATGTGCATGCACCATGTCTGCGCTATTTGGAAGCCAATGCCGCGCGACGGTAGTATGCTGGAAACGCCCTGTCGTCCTAGCCTATGTGTGTATCATATTGATATGTAGATATGTTAGTGTCTGATGGCATCTGCAGGCATGTGCAAAACGGCGTTGCTGTGCGCCCATAATCATACGACCTCCGTGGAGCATCACCATACACAACTTCTGCACTCTTTCAAAGCGAGCCACGCGGTCCAAGGGGAGCAACTCGTGCCGCCTTATGCGAGTGGGAAGGGAGGCCACAGAAACAGTACACATGCACTCACGCACCCCACTGCCCATTGTCTGTACATAGCACTTACTCCCTATATTGATTGCAAGTACCATTTATTATACATCCGACTGTGTGTTCAGGTCCATTGCCCATCTTATTACAATGAATTTGTTATGAACACACACACACTCACTCATCCTGGCATCCATTCATTCATGAATTCATGAACGTTTCAAGTATTCTTTTGTTTAATTTGGGTGGTCCTGAAAAGTACCGTTGTATGTATGTATGTATGTAAGTACAAGCTCTGGTGAACTGTCTTCTTGGAGCTGGTGTTCTTGTTGACAGTGCGGCACTTTGTAGGTGAGGTGCGCATGGATGGCTTGTCGTTACGGTCGTGACTGGATATCCGTATTTATAGGCCCCATCCTGGGTGCATCCTCATATTGAAAGTATAGGCATCCGTCTTTGTAGGACCCATCCTGGATGCATCCTCCATGTAGGATAGCCATCCGGATTTGTAGACCACATCCTGGATGCATCCGCCACTTAGCATAGCCATCTGTATTTGTAGGACCCATCATGGATACATCCTCATCTTGAAGCTATGACCATCCCGATTTGTAGGGCCCATCCTGGATGCATCCACCATGTAGAAGAGCCATCCGGATTTGTAGGCCCCATCCTGGATGCATCCTCATATTGCGAATATGAACACTAATGAAACTAATTAGCACGAATACAAAATAAGTTAATGCACTTGTTATGTAGTAATGTCATTCCTGTCAATTGATTGTAAACTAATACTGCATATTAACATGTTTCAGGCTAAGGCTTTTGTTTATTACATTCTTGTAATAAAAGTCCATCCGCCTCACACCCCAGTGTACAATAACTACACCCCCACTCTGCTACATATATTTTTGAACTTAGCCTGTGTGATGGAAGACAAAAAAGAATTAAATTCTGGTGTTCAATAAATACTTTAGACAGTGTGCTTTGAATAAACAACACTAAAAGTAGGAGTTGCCATTTTGAAATTTGTTTTCTAGGAACTCAGAAACTCATTTCAGAACAAGTTTCACTGTAATTGCCATAGATTTATCATGCTGTCAAACAGGTTTGCAACTATCAGAGTATCCAATTGTGCATCACATTCTTCAAACTGTCAAACAGGCTTGCAACCAACAGAAGTATCCAAGCTTTGATCATGTTCCTCAAACTGTCAAACTAGCAAATCAATTACTAAAATTAATCTCCGCATTTGTCATACCCATCTTGCCAGTTCTGAAAACCATACAGAAATAAATATTTCATTGAAATTTGGTTTCCTATTATGACACATTAACTTTATATAGGAAACTACATGTGAACAGTTTAATGGTTTTGCATATGGATCATTACGATGTCGTATTTATTATAATCACAGCCACGCCTTGTGTTTCAAATAACAGTCTTTGAAAATGCATAAAAGCATTCAAAGTTTCTAAAAAATGACTTCTTTGTGAAGCATAAGGTGATCTTATCTCCTATATTTAATGCTAATCTGAGTCTTTCAAGTAACAGCTATTTTTTAAATACATATAACATACAAATATTTAGGGAAAATATGAATTGTTACTCACATTATAATGTTAAAGGTCCTAATAAGCAAATCTAAATGAACAAATACCTACCAGAGATAATGTTTATGTTCAAAGCACAAGGTATGATAAGGATGGTTTTTGGCCC